GAGAGAGAGAGAGAGAGAGGAAGAGAGAGAGAGAGAGGAGAGCGAGAGAGAGAGGGGGGGGGGGCTGAGAGAGTGAACAAACTTCGCTAACAAAGGCGCACTATAAACAAAAAAGCCACACCCTAACAAGATCAGTTTTCCAATCTACCAATATAGTAAGTGTCCACCTCTCTCTCCTTCCCTCCCCTCTCCCCTTCTAACTTCCCTCCTCTTCTTTTCCCCTTCCCTCTCTTCCTTTTCCCCCTTCCCTCCTCTTCTCCCCTCCACCCCCTTTCCCCTCCCCCTTCCTCCTTCACCCTTCCCTACTTCCTCTCTCCATTCCCTCCTCCTCCCCTTTTCCCCCCCTTCCCTTCCCCTCCCTCTCCCCTCCTGTCCTCCTCCCCATGCCCCTTTCCCTTCCCTCCTCCCTCCCCTTCCCCTTCCCTCCTCCCTCCTCCACTTCCCTCCTCCTTCCCCCCCCCTCTCCTCTTCCCCCCCTTCCCCCTCCCCTCCCCCTCTTCCCTCTCCCTCTCTCTCCCCTCCTACCCTCCTCTCCTCCCTCTTCCCCTTCCCTCTCCTCTCCCTCTCCCCTCTCCCCTTCCTCTCAGGGCTTGTCGGAGTAAGAAAATCAACTGTAACCTTTGCTCCGTGTTCGCTAATGGTTGTAGTGGGTTCTGTCTCATTTTGGCATTCATTTTTTGAAGATTAAGTTTCTCTCTCTTCCTTTCTGTTTCTCTTTTCTTTTTTTCTTTATTTTCTTTCTTTCTTCTTCTTTCTTCTCTCTCTCTTTCTCTGTCTCACTCTCTCTCTCTCTCTCTCTGTCTCTCTCTCTGTCTCTCTCTCTGTCTCTCTCACTGTCTCTCTCTCTTTCTTCTGTCTCTCTCTCTCTCCTCTCTCTCCTCTCATCTCTCGTCTCTCTCATCTGTCTCTCTCTCTCTGTCTCTCTCGTCTCTCTCTCTCTCTCTCTCTCTCTCTCTCTGTCTCTCTCTCTCCTCTCTCTCTCTCTGTCTCTCTCGTCTCTCTCTGTCTCTCTCTCTCTCTCTCTCTCTCTCTCTCTCTCTCTCCTCTCTCTCTCTCTCTCTCTCTCTCTCTCTCTCTCTCTCTCTCTTCTCTCTCTCTCGTCGTCATCTCTCTCTCTCTCTTCTCCTCTCTCTCTCTCTCTCTTTCTCTCTCTCCTCTCTCTCTCTCTCTCTCTCTCTCTCTCTCTCTCGTCTCTCTCTCTCTCTCTCTCTCTCTCTCTCTGTCTCTTTCTCTCTCTCTGTCTCTCTCTCTCTCTGTCTCTCTGTCTCTGTCTCTTCTCTCTCTCTCTGTCTGTCTCTCTCTCTTCCTGTCTGTCTCTCTCTCTCTGTCTGTCTCTCTCTCTCTGTCTTTCTCTGTCTTCTCTTTCTCTCTGTCTGTCTTTCTCTCTGTCTGTCTGTCTGTCTGTCTCTCTCTCTCTCTCTCTCTCTCTCTCTCTCTCTCTCCTCTCTCTCTCTCTCTCTCTCTCTCTCTCTCTCTCTCTCTCTCTCTCTCTCCTCTCTCTCTCTCTCTCTCTCTCTCTTCTCTCCTTCTCCCTCTCTCCCTCCTCTCTCTCTCCCTCTCCTCCTCTCCCTCCTTCCCTCCCTCCCTCTCCTCCCTCTCCTCCTCCTCTCCCCCTCTCCCCTCCCCTCCCTCTCCCTCCCTCCTCCCTCCCTTCCTCTCCCCCTCCCTCCCTCTCCCACACACCCATTATCCAATATATCCCTCGAGAAACCTTTTATTCTCTCCCTCTGTCCATCACAACCATATTCCTTGTGCTTTGGTCCTGTCGAAACTTCTAATTTCTCACCCCACCCCTTCTCGCCCCACAGTTCGGCTTCAGCCTGGAGAAGACGGCCAACCCCTACACTGACAACCACCCAGAGCAATGCCAGCTCAACAACTTCAAGTACAATGACTCCGCAGTCCAGCACGTGTTTTTCATCTTCGACCTGGCCAACAAGCAGTAAGGGGGAAAGAGGGTTATTGTTGTTATTGCATTGTGGTTTTCGTTGTTATCTTTATTAGTTTCTGGCAGTATCTTTGTGTTTATTTATTCATTCAGTAATTCAGTAATTCATTCATATTTATTTAATGTAATTAATTGATTAATTGATTTATTTATTCTTGTATTTATTTATTTATTTATTCTTGTATTTATTTATTTGTATTTTTTCTTAATTTATTAATTTGTTTATCCATTTTTCACTGTATTTTATTATATGGTAGTGGCTTGCCTTGTCACTAGCAGTAACTCTCATAATTGGAATTTGGTTGATTTTGCTGGAGAATTGCATTGAGTAATTTGGTTTTGTAAATAGACAGTTTTGTATTTCAGGGTCTACTTGAACTGCAGTGCTGACATGACGCTGCTGCACGTGTTGAAAGGCAAGGACGTCCTCGAGAACTCAAAAGAGCTTAAACACCTGCGCTTGACGGACACCAACCTCTTTGCTTCACATAAACAAAAGGTAAGATGCTGATGGTCTCTCATCTGGTTTTGTTTATCTCATAATTTACTTTGATTTTAGTGGGTTTTGATGTGATTTTAATATTTTGGGTAAATAGGGTATTTATTGTATTGGATTTTGCTACCTCTGTATCATCTTTGTCTTTTCTATCATATTTTGTTTTGATTGTAATGAACATCACTTGCATATCCCTTTTCTATGCAATTCTTGCCTCATTCCTTTATTTTTCTGGTTGTAAAACCTCTTTACTTGGCAATTTAGATGATGATTGTCTTTTGCAGCGAGCAACATGGGCTAGGAGCAAGAGAGATGCAGAAACCGAGTTGAAGGGTGAGTATCCAGACCCTCGAACCGTCAAAAGTTGAAAGAGAAATTGCCACTAAAAATGTCAAATTATCAATAGCCAAATATGAAATATCAAATGTCAAAAGGAGAAATTATCAAATGCTGGTTCCTCTCATCAAATACAAGGGACAGATCTTAGGGGCATGATTGGTATCGTAGTCACAGGCCGGAATTTTCCCCAACAGGTCCTGCCAAGGATGGGACCAGCACAGTGAGACCGGTGAATCGTGAGGTCATCAAGCAGAAGTGCAATGATGTGAAGATCAACATGACTTATGAAAATGGCTTCTATAGTTTCAAGGTAAGAAGAGGAGGAATGAGGAAACTTGATTGATGAAATATTTGAAAAAAAAAAGAAAAAAAACTGAAGGAAGAAGGGAAATGAAAAGTGGATAGAAGTTTGATATGATTAAAGAGGGAAGGAAGAAGAAGAAAAAAGGATATTGATAAAAATTAGGAATAGAGAGGATGAAAAATAAAGGATTTTTAAATTTATGATAATATGAATATAACCAAAAAGTAGTATAACCAGAAGGGCAGGGAAAAGAATATAAAAAGGAAGGAAATATGGAATAGAAAACATGGGGAATAGAAAATAGGAGAGCAAAAGTAGAAAAAGACTATATAGATTTAAAAAGAGGAGAATTTGAAAATCAGTGTATCATAATGCATACCAAATGCCACTCTTCTTCTCCCTCTTCCTACGTATGAAATGAATCGTGACTCTAAAACATCTCCATTCTCTGTCAGTTTCTGGTGTATGTGGCCCTGGAGAAGGAGGAGGGGCTGTACAACCTCAACTTCCACAACTGCATGAATTACCCACCAGGTGCTGGGTACTCAAAGATCGACATGGCTTTGCAGGTGAGTTTGCTTGATATGTGGGTGTGTGAGTGTGTGGGTGTGTGTGTAGATGTGCGATTTGTTATTGTGTTGGCTCTTTTGAAGTATATGTACGATTTTCCTGCTATGTAAGAAAGGCTGGTAAAGAAAAGTACCCCTTTTGGATACTTAAAAAGAAATATTTTTTCCAGTGCCTTTTTTCTCTCTCTCTCAAAAAGTACTTGAAACATGAAAATTAGTGTACTGGAGTTACAGGACCACATTATTTCTTATATAAAGTGGTAAAACTACCATGCTTGTATATTGTAAAGAAATTATTGCAAGGTTTATTTGGGAACACCATTTGCACTTATTCCTTGTATGTTTCTTTAAAAAAGGAAATTTATTTCACATCTGTTAATACACTATTCCCAATATAAGTAAACATAAAATACCACACTTATATATTTAACAATTAAAATTTTAATTTGGCAGAAATTATTACCTGTTTATTGCGTATAATAGTTTTGATGCATGAAGCTCAGCTATTATGTAGTCAATTTTCTCATTGATTTGATGATTCAAACCCACATTCCTTATTGAAGATCGAGGAAGTGAATCCTGACGACAACTACCTGTCTGCTGGTGAGATGCCGCTGCCTGCTCTCTACTTCATGATGGCCCTCCTCTTCTTCCTCTCGGCTTGCTTCTGGTTCTTCCTCCTCAAGAAGAGCAAGTGAGTTGGGGGTGGGAATTATGAAAGACGAGTTAGAGGCCCATGTTATGTATTTATTTATTTATTTATTTATTTTTTACTTTTTGTTCTCTTTAGAAGGACTTTATTAATGTTGAAGCTTCTGATTGCCATATGATTTATATATATATATTTTTTTACTGTCAGTTCTTGTTCTCAAGGCATATAGAGAAGCAATAAAATGATTGAGAAAGCCAGATAGAAGTTAAGGGTAAAAAATGAGTTGAACAGTATGGAAGGGAAGTCAGTAATGTGAAATTCTATTCCGTAGAAGAAAATTGATATAAACACACAATCCTGGCACTTTTGAAATTTAGAAACCATATTACCCTCCTGCGTATGATGCATACATCATTCATCTACGAGTCTTTAAACATCTCCTTTTCTCTGCAGGGATCCCGTCTTCAAGATCCACTACCTGATGGGTGTTCTGGTCATTATCAAGTCGTTCAGCCTGCTCTTCCATGGTGTCAACTACCACTTCATTCAGACAAGAGGAGTCCACATGGAGGCCTGGGCTGTCATGTTCTATATCATGCACCTGTGAGTTGTTGATCTGCCTTGGGGGGTGGATTGAAATTGTTGAGGTTGGGAAAACTTGTGGGTCTGACTGATACATTCTAGTCATTTCTTATGAATATATATTTTCTGATTTTTGTTTCTTTGTCTGTGTTTTATAAACTCTTGACCTCTCCCATATGATGTTGATTTTGAAAATATATATAAAAAAAAATCAAATTTTGAGTTCAGCACTAATAAAAAGAAATAAAAATTTTCTGTATGCCAGTTGATTCATGTAATTCAGTGTATGTTTCTTACTTCCTCTGCACCCCCACAGGCTGAAGGGCGCTCTGCTGTTCACCGTTCTGGCTCTCATTGGCTCCGGCTGGGCCTTCATCAAGCACGTTCTCTCCAGCAAAGAGAGGAAGATCTTCATGATTATCATCCCCCTCCAGGTAGAATGGCTTCAGATTATTATTATTTTTGTTTGTTTATTAATTTGTTTTTCTGTTTTTGTTCTTAATTAAATATGTGGATTGATATATAGCACCAGTTATTGTCATGAGAGATCACATGTACTGGAAGTAGACACATCCAAGAATGAGCCAAGACTGACAAGAGCCGAAAGTGACTAACAGAGGGACTGGGAATGACAGATACTGTAGTGCAGTACTAATTCAATCATTGGGCAAATTAAAGGTATTAAGATATCCAGTGGATGTGATACTGACAACAAATATGGTATACAGTTATTACCCTTTCAGCTGCAGTGTCACAGAAGTTAAATTTATACCCTTTCAGTCATTCTCGGAAAAAAGTGGCTATAATGAGAGACTTAAATTATGAGATAGATGTATGCTACCTGTAGATAGATATGTATTACCTACCTAGCACCTTTGGTCCTAACAAAGAAACAAGGGGTGATCACAACTCTCCTTCCCTGCAGATCATTGCCAACGTTGCCACGATCATAGTAGAGGAGACGGAAGAGGCCAGCCAGGAGCACGCTATGTGGGTGGAGCTGCTCTTCCTCCTGGACTTCCTTTGCTGTGGAGCCATCTTGCTGCCTGTAGTCTGGTATGTCTCACACATGTACATGTACTTGCACACTCACATGTTTGTTTATACACGTTTAAATACGTAGAATGCATAATCACTCTCATACATTTATATACAAACACAAACACTCTACATACATAATCATGCAAAAAAATGTACACACTCACAACTTGTATGTATAGAATGAAAATTTAATTCCTTTCTCCATTTGGTCTCTCATTTCTTCTCTCTCTCTTCCAGGTCCATTCGTCACTTGCAGGAAGCCTCTCAGAGCGACGGAAAGGCTGCCATCAACCTTAAGAAACTGAAACTCTTCCGTCACTTCTACATCATGATTGTCTGCTACATTTACTTTACAAGGATAATTGTCTATTTGTTGAGGGTCAGTTGGATAAGAAATCCGCGTTTTCTCCACTTCCTTCCTTGTGTTTTTGTACAATTCTCTATTTGTTGAGGGTCATTTGGATAAGAAATAAACACAATCCTGTTTGTTTCCTCCACTTCCTTCATTGTTTTTTTGGACATTATTTATTTTATTTATTCTTCTTCTTCTTCTTTTTCTATTTCTATTTCTATACGGTACCTGCAGTTTTTTCTTTAGTGTTGATTCCTTTTTCTTTGTTTTTAGATACAAAGTTCTGAATAATTTCCTTTTCCCTCCTTTTATGAATTCATTTCTTAACATATTTTTTCTCTCTCTCCAAACCTACAGATGACAGTACCCTTCCAGTACGAGTGGCTGGATGACATGTTCCGCGAGATGGCAACCTACGTGTTCTTTGTGATGACGGGCTACAAATTCCGTCCTGCCAACAACAACCCTTACTTTAGGGTAACCACCGATGATGAGGATATGGACGAAGTGTAAGAAGAATCCAGATTTTTTTCGTCTCTTTTATATCTGGGTAGTTTTGCTGGTTTTGAGTTGCTTTGTTTAGATTAGGTGGTGGTATCGTGGTTCGTCAATTGTGTTGTAAGATTTGTCATGATGTGGTGAATGTTAGACTTGTACTGCTTTTCTTGATGTTTGTTTTGACTGAAAGGGTGAAGGATTGGAAGGTACTAACCCAGTAACAATGAATGTACTTTGGTAAAGTTGGACAAGGATGGGTGTTCGTAAATGTGTGTTGCTCTGGGTGTGGATGATTGCTTGGCTTGCAGGACATCTCGTCATGGTAATCAGGACATCACCTGTTGTCTGTGGTTATTTGTTGTTTTATGTTGTGGCATCGCCCATTAGGCTGTATAGATTTTCTTTTTTTCTGTGATCTTTTACTAGAAGTTTTCAAGATTATTTTTAGCAATGCAATTCCTCATACCATCATCACCCCCACAGGCTGACTACAACTGGCCTGACAGAAGGTGTGACCCGCGTCAACCAGCACAACAAGGATTCGTCCAAGAACAAAGACCACCTGGAAGTTGAGGTCTACGAGGATGATGAGGAAGTGAACCTTCTCAACACACAGGAGTCGTCCCATGCCTTCGACTAATGCCCCGTCAGAATAGGGGTCTTGGGCTCCCAGGCTCTCGAATTTAGATCTCCAAGGTCCTCTTTTGCTTGTCTTGAGCACGCTGATACGTAAGGGGAAAATTGACATTGTCGGCCGTGCAATTTTAGATATCTCTCAAAGGATATTTTTATGTAATATCTACTCACATCTGTATACATGTATTTGTGTGTATGTGCATATGGGTATGCATTGGGGCAAGTAGCTATGTATCTATTTGTGTATTTATGATGCATGTATATGCAGTGCTAGCATTCAGTACATGTATACATTTATTTGTTTGTCTTGGGGTAGATTTGCACTTGGTGGCTTTTGGAGACTAAACAGCGGCAAAATCTCTATTTCCTGTTTCCCTGCAATGACAAATTTTGTGATAGGAAAGTGAACAGTAAAGAGATGGATATAATTTTAATGTATAAGACTGGGTTTCAAGATTGAACTTGCAATATTCATGATGTTTATCAAAGTATGTATATATCTATTGTATATGAGTACATTTCACAGTAAGAGAAGGTTTTAATTCTTTAATGTAAAATGAAGAACTAATCAGTGAAGCAGATTTGTGGTGAACAAAATGTGTACTGATAATAGTACAATAATTCAACCAATTTCAAAGACACAACCTACCCTTATTGCCTCTTTATTCCGCTGTTGCCTCCTCATCCCCAGAATGGCTAGAATTCTTTCCTTAAGTTAAAGCTCTTCTCTCCATCTTGCCGTTCGTTTTTTGCATGCTGGATCGCTCAAGGATGATAACTTGTGTAATGTTTAGAATGTCTGTCATACGGATTCGTAAGTGACAGACAAATGAGAGCAAGTCACCAAGTGTGCTTCCCTGGATATTATTTTTTTTATTATTATTTTTTTCTTCTTCTTAATTTCTTCCTTGTATCTATCCATAGTAAGAAGTTCCTTGTCATATGTTGGATTATTCCAAAAGCAGTGCTTAAAAAATTACAATGTGTTCTACCATTCAAGCAGGGAATTATTTTTATTATTATTTTATTTTTTTATTTTTTGTTTGTTTGTTTGTTTGTCCTTCCACTCTCAAAACAAGAAGAGAAATAACCTCAAGAAAGTCATAACTGATGTGCAAGTTGATCTTTTATATTGATATTATTATCACAGCTGAGAGTATGTATAATAATTTAGGCTATAAAAGAAATTGCTGTCAGTTGCATTGTATTCTTTAGTAAGCTGGTTATTTTTATTCCTGTGTAAATGATGAGGACAATATTCCCTATGTTTGCTTGGTGTATATGTAAGTTTGTAAGCCCGTGTTGATTATTATGAATGAGAGACACATTGAAGAAACTTTCAGATCAATTATTTTGCTATAAGATAATGTGCTGGGGAGATTTTTAAGGTTCTATATATTTCCTTCCCCAAGATGAAAAATGATAAGGATTAAAGTATGATGATGATAAGACTATAGTAGAGGAAATGTTAATAATATTAACCCGTAATTTAACAATGGTTAAATGATCTGTACAGGATTATTCACTTTGATGGAGCCTTCGTCAAGGAGCAGAAAGTTGTGTAATAAAAGAAAATTGAAGTGATTAAAGGAAGTAATTTTCTAACCACCAAAGGACTAATACAGAGAGATATTTATTGGGATTGTGCAACAAACCTCAGCCATTTTTACGCAATTTGGCATATGTTAAGTTGCAGCAGATCTCCGAATTGCTGTATGTTAATATTCACACTTTTTTTTTCTTCATTTTTTTAGAATTGAATACTAGACAGTAAGTGAGATTAACCAGTAAAATTAGATTGTAAGTGAAGCATAGAATCCATCCTATTACTAGAAATATTTATTTCCTTTCATTAGTCATTCATCATTGGTATTTTTGTTACTAACCTTTCTCCCTGTGGATCTGAAAAGCAAACAAGACTGAGAATTGATAGATTTACATATTTTACTTCTTTTTTCTCTATTTTTTTAGTTTCTTTCCATCTTAATCTTGTGTACTCTGGAGTCACTACTATTACTAGAAGACAAAGTTCTAATAGTTCTTGGTGACTGCTGTGTGGTTTTAAGACTTCTTTACAGTATTTAAGTATATTTTGTTTCTTATAATTAGATGATAATGAAAACTACTTGGAGGATTTATTTTGTCTTATTGGGAGAGGAATATTAAGAATGGTAATAGCTGTTTAGTAATTGTGTTTATGGTGATTTATCTTGAATCTATTTCCATTCTGATCATCATTTTGAAGCGCTTTGGAAATAGCGAGGAAAAGGTAATATACGGAATAGTTGCATCATCATAAAAGAACAAGGAGGTTTTTACTAAAGATACATTTTGACTGGGGTGAGTTGGATAACAGACAGACGAATCCTAAGACCTGAATAGAGAACATAGATATTGTCCTGGTGTGCTTGTTTTCCCTCAAGATTTTAGTGGTCTTTGAAGTGCTTCTTCTAGGGTGATTTTCACTGTTGCTTCAGTTCCTTAGAGGTGAGACGGCACGAAGACGTTCCTTGGGATATTTCATCTTTCATTTTGGCAAGATATTGCAAAGGATATATTTGCAAATGTAACACTCGACCCAGGAGATTAAATGTACAAAAATAAAAGGTATAACTCTATATGAAAATCATCCTTTAGATTTGTTATTCTGATTTATTATCAATGAATTTTAACCCTATTGGAAGTATATTTTGATTCTCAGTTTTCAATCAAAAAGATATCTGATAAGCATATGTAACTTTCTGTCCTGATTCATTTTATAAAAGTAAATTCTAATATAAATGAATTAGTGAAAGGGATCGCCCTTTATGGAATTAGTTTAATAAAAGGAAATTGTAGCTAGTCATAAGCCTATATAGTTCTTTTCTTTGTAAAGAAATATATCACTTTGTGAGGTGTGAGATAGTTTTTTCTTTCGTAGATACTATTTTGTTAGTGTGTACATGTGTGACTGTGATTTTATTTTTTTTCTGTCTTTCATATCATGATTGGATTTTACAGACTCGCTAAGTTTGATATTCATTTGGAACTCTGCTGGATAAAACTCCGTGTGAAATTATGAGATGGGAGGTTCACCTTATATCCGAATATTATTTTTTAATCATTCCAAGTATATTGTGTAAGAATTCTTTTTTTTTCTTTCCACATGACAAGTGCATCATGATTTAGAGTAGCTTTTTGCTTTAATGTAGGTAAAAGACTTGACACTGTAGATGACCGTTCTCACCTTAATGTGTACAAAATTGTCAAGGTGTTCGTATGAAAACTTGTGCATATTTTTAGGTTCGTCTCGAGTGGGAACTTGTCCTAAATATGCACCACTTCAGAGGAACGTTTGTCTTTGGCCCCCTGTAAGGGTACATATGAATGAAATAGATCATGATATTTTCATTTAGTGTAGATTCATCTCGACTGATAATGAATCAAGAATATTCTACTGTAGTGTGGACAAGTTGTGCAACATATAATTATTATTATTTTTTTCGTCCCTTAAGAATAAAGCATTTGTAAATTATCCAATACAGAAACAAAGCTTATGAAGGTCTTTTTATTCCCACACTTTAGAACTAGATTTTTTGAATCAGGTTTTTCGTGTGGTGTACAACCTTTAACATTTTTCTGTGAATACTGTTATATATATTGATTTGATGTATTTATTTTTATTGTTTTCGATTTGTAGTGACCTTGCTTTTTCTTCCTCATTGTTCATGTGATGCTTTTCTTGAGATTTTTAGATATTTTTCCAGTTGCTTGTAATGGTATTTTGATAACCCTGTAGCAGCACCATGGCTAGCTTGGTTTAAGAGTTTGGTTCAGAAAAGTTTCATTATAAATGTAATTGAATTGTAAATGTATTGATCATTGTTTAGTATTGTACGTTCCTTTGATTAACATTAATTTGTCTTATTCTTTTTATTTTATTATTATTTTGTCATTTTGATTATTTCTGTATTATTGTTTCCGTCAATTATGATTCTCAATTATCAGGGTTTTTTTTTTTTAATGTTTATGTTAAAAATATCTAGTGCTTTGGGTTTTCATGATTTTTTATTTATTTATTTATTTTTTTCTTGTTTTTTATTTTATTTCTTAAAAAAAAAAAAAACCTTTCCCTTTCTTTCTTTTGTAGAGGCATGCAGTGTTAAACAGGAACAGTTATAACTGAAACTACACCCTAATTAAGGATCCGTGTAGATACCATTTTTCAGTTCCAACTTCTCTTTAGAATTATATTTAAACACCAAACTTTATGCCAGATGTACCAAGTCCCTGGCAAATTTCTGGATCGTTGCTAATCTGCTTTTGAGAAGTTATGTAAGCAGGCCAGATCCAGATCGGGAGTAGATTTTGCCATCTGCCCGATATCTGCTTCAAAGTCTTATTCTTTAGATTAGTGGTTCTCTCTGGGTCTCCAGTGTTGTCTCCGCACACTTGGAAAAACTAAAATGCGGAATGAAATAGGATGCCTTAACCTTGTTTCGAACAATGGCCTAACCTGCCCAGAAGTAATGAGGGTAACCCAAACAAGTTTTGGTTAAGAGCTTTGATTCGACCATGTATTTCAACTGCTGAAGTACATTTTTGAGTGACTGAACAGTGCAAGAATTTGACTATGGTAAGATAATTTTTATAATAGAAAGCTGTTGTTTAAAGTTGAATAGCCTCTAAACTAACCATTGTTTTGGTAATAATCAAAGCTGCTTACTGAATTGAGCATTTGAAAAGTATCTTGCCAGCACTACACTCTGGTTCTTTTTCTGGTTTCGTTCAGTGTAAAGTTTGTAAAATTGTTCCCTCCCAATACCTTGCTTCTTCTTGTCATGGAGGGGCTTAGGAGATAGAGTCTGAGCCCTCACCTCACCTCATTGTGCTTTGTTTTTTTTACTTCTCCTCTTTTCCTCTTCCGTATCTTCTTCATCCCCTTCTGTCCCATTCCTAAGGTGTGAGAGCAGTGCTGAGGGGATGAAAGGCTGGCTTTCAGTTAGTCTTGAACGATCTTCGGGAGCCATGGGCATGGTATTCCCTTGTTTAATTGCCTAGCCCATACTCCTTATGGGGACCCTGATGGCGGACTGTTTCTTTTTCCCCCCATGTATTCAGGCTCACCATGGCCAATAATGAAGATTCTTTACTTTTAATAGGGGTATTAAGACTTGCTGCTTCATCAACTTGCCTATCTGAATTTAATTTTGATGGTTTTCCGATCCCCTCCTCGATATTTATTAACAATTCTATCCATTCCAAACCACCACCCCAGGTTAATACTCAACTTCCAAAATACACCCCTTCCTCTCTCCCAACATTCTCCTCTCCAACTACTGTAAAGTCATTTTCAATGTCTACCCCCTCTTCCTCCACACCAGTCTTCCTCTTGCCCTTATCCTTATACTGCCTCTACCTCTGCAAACATTTTGAATACTCTCTTTGGCACAGCAAAGTGGGATCAATTCTTTGTGATTCCCCCCCACAGCCCCCTACTCTAAGAATAGCCTTCTCTTTCAAGTGCCTCCAAAAACAAGTAAGGTACTTGGAAGTTACCTTTTGCAGTCGCTCCGATCATTCATACCTTGTCACAGATACATCTGAATCCCAAGCTCGTACAGTATCTACCCTAACTGACCTCACTGGCAAACCCATCCCTGCTGAACCTCACACCTCTCTCTAATATTTGTACTGAAACTGTTTCTATCCCTCCAAATGCCTGCCCTATCTACAACAAAAACTGGTCAGACTGTGAAAATGACCTTCTTGTTTGCCTTGTTGATAATGATGCAGTAGCAGTCCAGTGTTACACTATTCCTCCCAAAGGCCAGTGTAAGTCATGTCAATATTGCCAAGATTAGCTTTCTTAGACATGACATTCCCCAAGAACTTTATATTGGCATATTGTCCTACCATGGTCAGTCATATTGACCCCTTCGTTGTCAACTTCAGAAATGTTGGCATTATGGCCCCCAGCCAAACATTGTAGCTTTACAGCTCGCTCACCTCTACCTTGTTATGGCCGTTCAAATTGTCCTGCTCAGTCATGTATATGTGCCAACTGTTGAGACTCCCAGAATTTATATTATAGGAGCTGCCCTGCCTATAAGCTCAAATGTGAGGTAGCAGTCCTCTGATTCAAACTAGGGCTCACTCTATGTGAGGCCAGACAAGATGCACGTTGACAAGGTTTTTCTCTCTACCTATTCCAAAACATTCCTTTACTCTACTCCTCCCTCCCATCTCAAGATGTTTCTGCATCTCCCCCAATATCTCTTCCCTCAACCCTGAACCATCCTACCTCTACTTACCCAATTCCCGTCAAATTGTTTTTCCAGTCAAAATCCAGATACTCCAATCTCTATCACTTCTCTGATACTTACCCTTCCTTGTCACTTTACTTGTTGCACCAGGCAACCTAAATGTTCCATTCCCCCTCTTCTCCTCCTCCTCATAAGAGAACCTTTGTTTCTTAGTCCTCTTCACCCAACCCCCCCTCCAGAAACTCTTGAATACATTGCAAACTTCCCAAAGATGACCCAAGGGAACACTCCACTCCCTCATCCACCCTCCAGTCTTTCTGTTCATACCCCTTTTTCATTTAAAGTATTTGCTGATATCCACCCTCCTCCTCAAGTTCCCTCCGCCCCCTTCCTCTCACCTCCTCCCAACATACCCAATCCTCTCTACCACTCCCACCTGAATGCTCAGACGAGTCCCTTCTGTTACAAAAGTATCCTTCTCCAAACACCACCCCTCCAGACATTCGTCCTGATTCTTCACCACCTTCCTTAGTCCCCTTTTTTCATCCCCCAGATTCTTCTCCAACAGCCACCTCTGTTTTCCTTGAACAATGTCCCTATTCCTTCACTCAGTTCCTCTTCCCTCCGAACCCTTCCCATTTTACAAATCTCTGCTCTATTTCATTTGCTTCCCTCTTTTCTCTTTTAGCTATCACGCTCTCTAATCTTTGACATCTAACACCACCTCTTCCCCAGATTCTTCCCCTATTTTTCAAACAACCATCTCTGTTTTCCTTGAACAATAATCCTATTCCTTCCCCAGTGACAAATACACTACAATTCACTATATTGCCCTACCCCCTTAACCCTCCGCTTTCTACTAATCTCTACTCTACTTCACATGCTCCCTTCTTTTCCCTTTTTACTACCATACTATCAATAACACTCTCTAATCTTTGATATGTAACACATTTTATCCTAGTCTTCAACTCCTCTTTACCCCTTTCGACACAATACTTTACCTTAGTGCTATATGCCCTTTGATGTGCAGCATATTTATTTGTTTCAAACCTTAAGATTTAAACATTGTAAAAATATTGCCTTATTCCAACTACTTATACTGGATATGAAAGAATGGAAAAATTATCTGAGAGAATGGGTGAACAGGGGTGCAATAGCTTGTTAGTTAGTATTAATGATATATTACAATTTAATTTAAGAAAATCCTGAGTGAGGTTGTGCTATGATTTAGATTATTTTGAGATAGGACAAGCTGTGTAAAGTAAAACCTCAAATATGAGACTTCACTAAGATGCCAAATGTATCATTGAAGTAGTAAATTTAGATTACTCTGCATATTTGGGTATATTATGCAATGCACATGAACATTATTATACCATAATAGCATTTTACCTGTGGCCCTCAGCAGACATAGAAGGTGACAGGCAATACTTCCTCAAGAGAGAGGAGAGAGAGAGATAGAATGAGGCAGGACACACAGAGGAGGGGAAGTAAGAGGGAGAGGCATTAAGTTTGAAAGATAGCAAAAGTTAAAGCTAGAAAAAATACCTTATCTTGCCTACTATCCTCAACTGAAGTAAGAGTGAAGCCTAATGGTTAAAATAAATGTGCTAGACATCTAAGGTCATATAGCACTATAGGTAGGTATAGTAAAGGGGATGTCAGGTGATAGTTGCTATGTGTCAACTATCTAGAGGAGTGTTGAAAGGTTGAAGATGGGGGAAAAGGTTATGGTGGTTTAGGTAAGGGAGTTAGATCAAGTGAAGGATATTTATGCGTCTGAGGAAGGAGAACAGGTTGTCAAGGTAGAAGCTGTGGGATTCTGTAAGGATGTCTGATATGTTGGGAGGTCAGCGAAGGGAGGATAGGTGTGGAAAAGCAGAGGTACGTGCTGTATTAAAGCGTGGACAGGACAAGAGAATGTGTGGAACTGAAAGAGGGACGTTACATAGAGGACCGATGTAGGAGAGCCATAGCTTATGAGTGATATCGCATATGGTACGTATTGGGGAATCTGGGGGAGAAGGAGCTAGGGGTGTGGAAGGAGGAATTTGGGAAGGGTATTTTGTGACATGAGTGATTCTCGTGTGTATCCGGGAGGGAGGGAGAATGTGCCTATAGTTGGGGTTGAAGGGGGTGGGTTGTGTTGGGAGGGAGTAGATGTGGGGGGAGTATTAGTGGTAGGAGGTTGGATATTGGAAGGATGGATAGTTTGAGTTGAAGGGGATGTGTTGTCTTGGGAGGGATTAGGAGGAAGGGGTGTAGGGGTGCTGTGAGTAAGAGGGGGATGG